TGATGCCTCTGGCTTTGTTCTTTTTGCCTAGGATTGTCTTAGCTATGCGGGCTCTCTTTTGGTTCTATATGAAGTTTGAGGTGGTTTTTTCCAGTTCTGTCAAGAAGGTCATTGATAGCTTGATGAGGATAGTGTTGAGTCTATAAATTACTTTGGGCAGTATGGCCATTTTCATGATATTTATTCTTCCTAACCATGAGCATGGAATGTTTTTCCATCTGTTTGTGTCCTCTCTTATTTCCTTAAGCAGTGGTTTGTAGTTCTCCTTGAAGAAGTCCATTACATCCTTTGTTAGTTTCATTCCTAGATATTTTATTCTCTTTGTAGCAATTGTGAATGGGAGTTTGCTCATGATTTGGCTCTCTGTTAGTCTGTTATTGGTATATAGAAATGCTTGTGATTTCTGAACATTGATTTTGTATCCTGAGACTTTGCTGAAGTTGCTTAATAGTTTCAGGAGATTTTGGGCTGAGACAATGGGGCCTTCTAAATAAACAATCATGTCGTCTGCAACTAGAGACAATTTGACTTCCTCCTTTCCTATTTGAATACCCTTTATTTCTTTTTCTTGCCTGATTGCTCTGACTAGAACTTCCAATACTATATTGAATAGGAGTGGTAAGGGAGGGTATCCTTGCCTGGTGCCATATTTCAAAGGGAATGCTTCCAGTTTTTGCCCATTCAGCATATTGGCTGTTGGTTTGTCAAAAATAGCTTTTATTATTTTGAAATACATTCCATCAATACCTAGTTTATTGAGGGTTTTTAGCATAAAGGGCTGTTGAATTTTGTCAAAGGCCTTCTCTGCATCAATTAAGATAATCATGTGATTTTTGTCTTTGGTTCTGTTTATGTGGTGAATTACGTTTATAGACTTGCATATGTTGAACCAGCCTTGCAACCCTGGGATGAAGCCAACATGATAGTGATGGATAAGCTTTTTGATGTGCTGTTGTAATCGATTTGCCAGTATGTTATTGAAGATTTTTGCATCTATGTTCATCATGGATGTTGGCCTGAAGTTTTCTTTTCTTGTTGAATCTCTGCCAGGTTTTGGTATCAGGATGACGTTGGTCTCATAAAATGATTTGGGAAGGATTCCCTCTTTTTGGATTGTTTGGAATAGTTTCAGAAGGAATGGTACCAGCTCCTCTTTGTATGTCTGGCAGAATTCGGCTGTGAACCCATCTGGCCCTGGACTTTTTTTGGTTGTTAGGCTATTAATTGCTCCCTCAACTTCAGCCCTTTTTATTGGTCTATTCAAGATGTCAACTTCTTCCTGGTTTAGGCTTGGGAGGGTGCAAGTGTACAGGAATTTATTCATTTCTTCCAGGTTTACTGGTTTAAGTGCATAAAGTTGTTTGTAGTAATCTCTGATTGTAGTTTGTATTTCTGTGGAATCAGTGGTGATATCCCCTTTATCATTTTTTATTGCATCTATTTGATTCTTTTCCCTTTTCTTTTTTATTAATCTGGCTAGTGGTCTATTTTGTTGATCTTTTCAAAAAACCAGCTCCTGGATTTACTGATTTTTTTGAAGGGTTTTTTATGTCTCTATCTTCTTCAGTTCTGCTCTGATATTAGTTATTTCTTGTCTTCTGCTAGTTTTTGAGTTTTTTTTTAATCTTGCTCCTCTAGCTCTTTCAATTTTGATGATACGGTGTGGATTTTAGATCTTTCCTCGCTTCTCATATGGGCATTTAGTGCTATAAATTTCCTTCTAGACACTGCTTTAAATGTGTTCCAGGGATTCTGGTATGTTGTGTCTTCGTTCTCGTTGTTTTCAAAGAACATCTTTATTTCTGCCTTCATTTCATTGTTTATCCAGTTGACATTCAGGAGCCAGTTGTTCAATTTCCATGAAACTGTGTGGTTCTGAGTCAGTTTCTTAATTCTAAGTTCCAATTTGATTTGCCTGCAGTCTGGGAGACTGTTTGTTATGATTTCTGTTCTTTTACATTTGCTTAGGAGTGATTAACTTTCAATTATGTGGTCAATTTTAGAGTAGGTACAATGCAGTGCTGAGAAGAATGCATATTCTGTGGATTTGGGGTGATTTCTGTAGATGTCTATTAGGTCCAATTGGTCCAGATCTGAGTTCCGGTCCTGGATATCCTTGTTAATTTTCTGTCTCATATTGATCTGTCTCATATTGACAGTGGAGTGTTAAAGTCTCCCAATATTATTTTGTGGGAGTCTAAGTCTCTTTGTAGGTCATTAAAAACTTGCTTTATGTACCTGGGTGCTCCTGTATTGGATGCATATATATTTAGGATTGTTAACTCTTCTTGATGGATTGATCCTTTTAGTGTTATATAATGCCCTTCTTTGTCTCTTTTGATCTTTGTTGGTTTAAAGTCCATTTTATCAGAGACTAAGATTGAAACTCCTGCTTTTTTTTTTATTTTGCTCTCCATTTGCTTGATAAATCTTCCTCCATCCCTTTATTTTGAGCCTATGTGTGTCCTTGCGTGTGAAATGGGTTTCCTGAATACAGCACACCGATGGATCTTGACTTTTTATCCAATTTGCCAGCCTGTGTCTTTTGATTGGGGCATTTAGCTCATTTACATTTAAGGTTAATATTGTTATGTGTGAATTTGATCCTGCCATTTTGATGCTAGCTGAATGTTTTTCCTGTTAGTTGACACATTTGTTTCATTGTGTCAATGATCTTTCCATTTGGTATGCTTTTGGAGTGCCTGGTACTGATTGTTCCTTTCCTTGTTTAGTGCTTCTTTCAGGAGCTTTTATAAGGCAGGCCTGGTGGTGATGAAATCTCTCAGCAATTGCTTGTCCATAAAGGATTTTCTTTCTCCTTCACTTATGAAACTTAGTTTGGCTGGACATGAAATTCTAGGTTGAAAGTTCTTTTCTTTAAGGATGTTGAATATTGGCCCCCACTCTCTTCTCTCCTGTAGTGTTTCTGCAGAGAGATCAGCTGTGAGTCTGTTGGGCTTCCCTTTGTGGGTAACCTGACCTTTCTCTCTGGCTGCCTTTAGCATGTTTTCCTTCATTTCAACCCTGGTGAATCTGATGATTACGTGCCTTGGGGTTGCTCTTCTTGAAGAATATCTTTGTGGTGTTCTCTGTATTTCCTGGACTTGAATGGTGGCCTGGCTTGCTAGGTTGGGGAAGTCCTCTTGGATAATATCCTGAAGAGCGTTTTCCAGCTGGAATTCATTCTCTCTGTCATATTCAGGGACACCTATCAAACGTAGATTAGGTCTTTTCCCCTAATCCCATATTTCTTGGAGGCTTTGTTCATTTCTTTTCACTCTTTTTCCTCTATTCTTGCCTTCTCATTTTATTTCATTGAGTTGATCTTCGATCTCTGATATCCATTCTTCTGCTTGGTCAATTTGGCTATTGAAACTTGTGTATGCTTCAGGAAGTTCTTGTGTTGTGTTTTTCAGCTCCATCACATCGTTTATATTCTTCTCTAAGCTGTTTATTCTAGTTAGCATCTCATCTAACCTTTTTTCTAGTTCTTAGTTTCTTTGCATTGGGTTAGCACATGTTCTTTTCACTCTGAGAAGTTTGTTATTACCCACCTTCGGAGGCCTGTCTCTGTCAATCCATCAGATTCATCCTCCATCTGTCTTTGATCACTAGCTGGTGAGAAGTTGTGATCCTTTGTGGGAGGAGAGGCACTCTGGTTTTTGGTGTTTTCATCCTTTTTGTGCTGGTTTCTTCCCATCTTAGTGGCTTTATCTGCCTGTGGTCCTTGTAGTTGGTGACTTTCGGATGGAGTCTCTGAGTGGACATCCTTTTTGTTGATGATGAAGTTATTTCTTTCTGTCTCTTGGTTTTCCTTCTAACAGGTCCCTCTGCTGCAGGACTGCTGGAGGTCCCCTCCAGACCCTGCTTGCCTGAGGATCATCCACAGGGTCTGCAGAACAGTAAGGGTTGCTGCCAGTTTCTTCTTTTGTTATCTTCATCCCAGAAGGGTACCTGCCAGATGTCAGCCTGAGCTCTCCTTTATGAGGTGTCTCTTTGGGTGTACAGGGGTTGGGGAGCTGCTTGAGGAGGCAGTCTGTCCTTTATAGGAGCTCAAGTGCTGTGCTGGGAGCTCCACTGTTCTGTGCAGAGCTGCTGGGCAGGTACTTTTAAGCCTGCTGTAGTGGAGCTCATAATTGCCTCTTTTCCCAGGTGCTCTATCCTAGGAAGGTTGGCTTTATTTATAAGTCCCTGTTGTGCTGCTGCCTATTTTCATAGATGCCCTGCCTGACACGGAGTAGTCTAGTCACAGTCTGCCAGCAGAGGCGTTGCTGAGCTGCCACAGGCTCTGCCCAGCTGCTGTGTGAACTGCCTCAGTAGTGGTGGTTGCCCTTCACCCCACTGAGCTGGACCGTCCTGGGTCCAGCTGCGCTTGCTGCAAAACTCTCAATCCAGAGTGTTTCAGATTGCTTGTTTTGTGGGGTGGTACCCACCAAGCCAGATCACCTGGCTCCCTGTCTCTGCCCCCTCCCTTTCAGTTGAATGGGTGGTTCTGTCTCCCAGGTGGTCCAGACACCAGTTGAAACGGCCACCCAGATTTGTCCGAGTTTCTGTGCGCCAACACGGCACCAGCTGAAACTGTGATGCTGAAAATTTGTGGCGCTTTTCTGCCTGGGAATCTCCTGGTCTCTGGGCAGTGAAAATTTGTTTGGAAATGCAGTGAGCACTCACCCTCTGCCTTGTTTTGCTGGTAACTGCACTCTGGAGCTTTTCCTATTCGGCCATCTTGGATCCTCCCTCAAGGTTTCCTCTTTACATTTTCACTCTAGGGAGTAATTCCTGAGACTACACCAGACTTGGGAGACGAGTTGACCTGGAAATGAAAAGTAACACTCATGCTATGCAAATTTTAACCATAGAACATAATGACAATGTAAATTACTTAACCTTGAAGATGTGGATACATAAACAAAAGCCAAGAATCAGGTGAAAGCCTGATCCAAGTAAACTAATCACAGTTAATTTAAAAATACTGTTTAAGAAACACTGCTCAATTAATTGGCATTAGTTGGTTTATTTGTAATAATAAAAAGAAAGTTACATTTTATATTAGTGTAAACACATTTTAACATATAAAAGACAAGTTTTGGAACTTCCTGGGAATATGTATATTTGTTTTTAAAAGTTCATCTTAAAGTAAGGTCCATAGGTCTTACATTTTCCTTCTCTACCAGGTAGAGCAGGGTTGCTTCATATCATCAGTAGAGTTCAAGTCACTAAACTAAGGCAAAATCTGGTCTTTGGCAGGTATTTGAGGTCCAGAAGATGATGGACAAGATGAAAAACCTGATCCTTGAAGAAAAAAAGAACCAGAAGCACAGCCAGGGCCAGATGCTGAAGATCAATTCAATGTGGAATCATAGAATCTATGGGATAAATCAGGCAACAAACCCAGTGGGAATTAAGGAGTAGGCAGAAGCAGAGCCAGGAGGTACACAGCTGATTTAGCATCTTTATAGCTAGAATTATCTTTTCAGCTCATTCCCCTCTAAGATATATCTATTGGTTTTGAAGATACAGCTCCCTGAGACCAACATCAATGGTGTTCTTGAACTTGAAATCAAAAGGATCTGCATCCTCCTTCCAGCTCTGACACGTATTAGCTGCATAAACCTAGACAAAATATTTATATTATTTGAATTATAATGGACAACATAATATCTCACTCAGAAATACTATGAAGATTAAATAAAATAATGGGTGTTAGCTTCATGGTACACTCTAGACTCTTCATGATGTTATTCCTTCTCCATGCACTCATGCTTCAACACCCCTGGAGCCCTCTGGAATACAAAGTATCCAGGTTTCATGTAGTAGTGATAGGGGAAAATGGTGTATGATAGAGGTGTTATTACACTGGAAATGTGATGCCAGGGAAGCCACTTAAAGATTGAACCCCTCCTAACTTAGCAGATACTGAGACCAGCTTCAGTGCCAGTAAAGTTTAATACGCATTCCCATGAGTGGGGGACCCAGAAAAGTCAAATGTAAGGTGAGTACTTCTGTGTCAGGGTGAAGGAGAAGTCATGCAATATAAAGTTTATGTGGAGAAGAATAGAAGCAGGAGATACAGTGTGCAAGTCAATCATGACTGTTAATAAGCATACACACACACACACAAACACACACATATTCACGTTATATGACTGTTAATAAGAAGCATATATATATGCTTATATATATATGAAACTAAGCACCTTCCATGTTCCAGAGTCTGTGCTGGGAGTTTTACATCTCATTCATTCTCATAATTATTGCAAGGTAAGTATTAATATAGCCATTTTATAGATGGCGACATTGATCTTCAAAGAGGTAAAATAACTTGTCCAAATTACAGCCAACAAGTAATAGTAACGAGTCTGTTCAACGCTGTATCCTTGGATCTTATGTTGGATTCATTGATTTATTTTGGAGGCTGAAATATTGTGGGGGTTTTGATATGGGTCTTCTGCTACCAGGGGAACTGCTACCAGTTAACCAGAGATTTAACCTGAAATGTTGATTGCTGATGTATAGACTTCTCCAAATTTAACTAGGTAATAATTCATAATGAGCACAACAGTGAAGCAGTCGAGTGTGGAAAGAATGAAAAAAAATTATCCTAGATGTCACATGCATACATTAGATTTATACTGTGGCAACAAAAAAAAATTTCTCTGGATTTAGATTTATTTACAGTGGAGAATAGATTTCTAGACTAGGGAAAGTACTAAAGTAAAAAATATATATTGCATAGGAAACAGGAAAGATTCCCTTGTCTCCCTCGCAGGGGGTGCAATGGGGGTGTGGCTCACTTCTTCAGTGCCTTGCTGCTCAGATCTCTAGGGAGCATGCAGACAGGAAGGCTCTGGGTTCCAACCCCACGGCAGTGTGTAAGAGTGAATGTTTACAGCTCCTGAAACCCCAGTGGCAGTGTAATACAGGATGCTCTTTTAGTTTAGCTGTCCCTAGGCGGCTTGTGTTAGTCAGCTCAATTAGACCCCTGCCTTATCGAAAAGACAGAGATTCTGTATCCAGAGATTCTTGCCTCGATACACCCCAACTATGGGATCACGTGTGGGCTTGGAGAATGATGGCAAATTGAATGAAAGTAGCTCTTAGCAGATGGGGGAGCCAGAAGAGGGATGTTTTCCCCTGGAGTCAGGCCACTCGGTGGCCCAACTCTTCTCTGAACACCCCCCACCCCATTGTTCTGCTCTTTGATGGCCTGCCAGAGCGCCCTTTGCTCCTACACCAGTGCATTCCTCTCAACGGCCAGTGCATCCCTCTCAACGGCCAGCTGCCTGTGTGTTCCTCCACTGATGTGCGCCTCTCAATGTCCAGCCATTTGTGTATCTGCCGCCTGGGGTCTCGGGTTTTTATAGGCACAGGATGGGAGTGTGGCAGGCCAGGGTGGTCTTGGGAAATGCAGTATTTGGGCAGGAAATCAAAAATGCCTGTACTCACCTAGGTCCATGGGCATAGGCCCAGGGGTGGAGCCCTAGCCAGGATCACACCATTCTCATATATATAATTGCACTTTAGGTTCGGGGTACATGTGCAGAACATAAAGGATTGTTGCATAGGTACAGGTTTGCTGCCTCCATCCCCCCATCACCTATATCTGGCATTTCTCCCCATGTTATCCATCCCCAACCTCCCTACCCACTGCTGTCCCTCCCCTAGGCACCCCACAACCCCAGTGTGTCATGCTCCCCTCCCTGTGTCCATGAGTTCTCATTGTTCAACACCTGCCTATGAGGGAAAACATGCAGTGTTTGATTTTCTGTTCTAATGTCAGTTTGCTGAGAATTATGGTTTCCAGATTCATCCATGTTCCTACAAAGGACATGAACTCATCCATTTTTATCACTGCATAGTATTCCATGGTGTATATGTGCCACATTTCCCTTGTCCAGTCTATCATTGATGGGCATTTGGGTTGGTTCCAGGTCTTTGCTATTGTAAACAGTGCGGCAATGAACATACATATGCATGTGTCTTTATAATAGAATGATTTATAATCTGTTGGATATATACCCAGTAATGGGATTGCTGGGTCAAATGGAATTTCTATTTCTAGGTCCTCGAGGAATCACCACACTGTCTTCCTCAATGTTGAACAAATTTACACTCCCACCAACAGTGTAAGTGCTCCTATTTCTCCACATCCTCTCTAGTATCTGTTGTCTCCAGATTTTTTAATGATCGACATTCTAACTGGTGTGAGACGGTATCTCAATGTGGTTTTGGTTTGCATTTCTCTAACGGCCAGTGGTTATGAGCATTTTTTCATATGTTTATTGGCCTCATATATGTCTTATTTTTAAAAATGCCTGTTCATGTCCTTTGCCCACTTTTAAATGGGTTTTTATTTTTTTCTTGTAAATCTGTTCTAGCTATTTGTAGATTCAGGATATTATCCCTTTGTCAGATGGGTAGTTTGCAAAAATTTTTTCCCATTCTGTTGGGAACCACACCATTCTCTACCCAGCACTTCCTTCTCCCACTTCTGTATTGTTTAAAGGGACCAGACCTTCCCTTCCCAGCATTTCCCTATCACAAAGTAGAAGAAGCTTCCAAAAGTTCAAATGATGTTATTGTATTTTAATATTCAGTATATAATATTATAATTCTCTAACTCTGTCCAAAATTTTCAATGCAGTCTCAATTTCTTTTTATTTTTCTAAAAAATGTAAATCCAATTTCTAATGATAACCAGTGAAAAAACCTAATTTGCTTATAAGGAACTATTTTTCCATTCATGTTTGGTGGCATTCATCTACATGCTAATGAAACATGAAAGTTCAGTTCTCAACATTTAACTACCCCATATCGACACATATGAAACCACTTTAAAGAAAAAGGGTATCATATTTAGATGTGAAGAAAATTGGAATAGGTGTGAAAAGGCTAAGACCTAGCGTCTCTTTACTTCAGAAAATTAGCATTATTGATATTCACTCTTTAAAGAAAGAATGGTAGGAGATGAGTTATGAAATGCAATCTGTGCATCAGATACCACCAAGAGCTTTGAAGCCAGCTTAAGTAAACCAAATTTGAATAAAGTCAGAAGTGCAAGCACATACTTGTAATCCCAGCACTTTAGGAGGCCGAAGAGGAAGGATCACTTGAGCCCAGAAGTTAGAGGCTTCGGTGAGCTATCATCTCACACCTTCACTCTAGCCTGGGTAACAGAAAAAAACCTTGTCTTAAAAATAAAATAAAAAAATCTGTTATCACATCTGAATTAGACTAGGTTCCTCAAATTTCAGCCAAAGTCAGAAATCCAGGAAATAATATTACTAGTCAAGGATGTGGATATTTTTGCCCAGTAAAACTGATTAAATTTTTCCCTGAGGAAAGACTGATGTTAAGAGAAGACTAACACTTTGAGGCAGGTAACATAAATAACAAATTTATTCAAGTAGCACTCTTTGTTAAGGACTGGGGTCTGCTTGCACCAGCGCCCACGTGTGGATGCTGTCATGTGTGGGGTCCGGAAAGCATGGCATCCGCTGGGGCAGAGGGCAGACAGTTATGGGAAGAGCAGCCAGGGGTGAAAAGCCCTGTTCTCTCCATTCAGCTGCTACTCAACTTCTCAGCCTAAACACAGAACTCATGTAATGGCTGTTGAATTCCTTTTTGAATGACAATATAGATACCTCAATCTCAGCTAAATCTCATTTTATGCTCATTTCACTTTGCTGCAGCATTTGTTGTTTTCCGTGCTGCATTTTTCTTGAACAATCACCAAACTGGCAGACTCTGACTAGCTTGTCAGAAAGGAAAAGGAATTTATATTTCATAGGAAATTAATCCAATCAGTGGAACATTTATAAGAGACCAAGCCAGACTTGTTTACAAATGAACAGTACCTGAAGGGGAGAGATTTTAATCTCATTATAATATGACCTTCCAAAGATTAGGACACAATTGTTTAATTCTCCTTGTTAACTCACTGTGTTTAAACTTTACTGTGTCTTATGGTTATCAGGGAAAATAAGGAAACTAAAAATCACCTTATTCTAATAAAATAGGAAGCGGGAGGAGGTAAACCAATAATAACCGTTAATACCGTGATGAAAATAGCCCTCCATAAAACAAGGATAAACAACGTTGCAGTCTAATTTACTTCTGCATAAAATGTAAACTACAACTCAATGTGCAATAAAATATTAGTATCTTTACTGCCAGCATAATCTTAACTAATCATTTCTTATTTCTGTAGTTACAGTAAGTCATCTGCATGAAATTTGACTGAATAAGGTTAGCCCAGCAACTGAAAGTACTGGGGCTTTCCATTTTTCCATTTCATAAAATCTTTTCTCATTAATGTTCTCACACATTTCTAAGCTATCCCCAAACTGGATCAGCCTCTACTCTTTTCAGAATGTCACCAACCCAAAACAGTTTTCTTCTTAACAATCCCCTTTTTTGTAATACATAAACGCATTCTTCAGGGGCACTGTAATTATCCAAAATGAGGTTTAGTACTGCAAATGACTTCAGCACTCCTATGATTTATCTGTAGTAAACATACTTTATAATATTTATATTCCCATTAAAACTGCCACTAATAATGAATCGACAGAACGTAAACATTTATATGATACAGCACGGACAAATACCGGATGCCCCTATAATAGTTACATTCCTTGCTCTTCCTATCAGGTTGGGAAAAACCAAGCCTTGGCATTTTGCCATGTTTATGAAAATACCTTTGAAAATGGCTCAGCACATTGCACTTCACATTTGCAACCATTTCCTTTAAAAAGATGGCATTCGTCCGTACTTATGAGGTCTGGGTTATTGCATTTTCACATTATGCATCATTACTCCGAGTAGGTGTCTTATCAGCAGCTCCAGTTGCTGTGGAGAAGATTGGAATTAAGCACTGGAAGCTTTTTATTTATTTTACATGCTTTATTCCTACAAGATTTTCTGCTTATAAGCTTCTTTGTTCGGCTGAGAATTGGATACATTGCCAAGGCATTGTAAAATTTACATCTTGCTTTTTCTCCTGTATTCTTTCCAAAATTGGATTGAAAACAAAGTATAGTTTTTAATTAAAGCTCTGACCGACAACAGACATTTTTTCCGCCAAGCACTGGCATTCTTAATCAGTGGTGAGGTTTCATAAAAGCCTAATAGAAGATGTTCATTACTTAACCACAATCAGCCTTCAAGCAGTTTGTACTTCAGAAAATATCTGGGATATTCCTGACAATATAATTTAAAGATAACGATCACCAAAGTTGATTCAACTGTAATCAACAAGACCATGGACAAATCTGAAAAAAATTTACCTTTTCTTTGTAGCATCATGTAATCCAAAGTGATGTTCCTGCTGACTTCAACAGAGAAAAACTGAAAGTAAAGCTTGTTATTTTTTCAAGCAGTTTCAGAATAGACTTTTGATTAGTATTTTATTATTTAGTTCAATCTATCATGGCTTACTTTATCCTGAAGTGAAATCCAAAAGTCATCATCTTTTGGCCTTCAAAATGTCTTAATGACTTAAATATCCTCAGCAAGGCCAGTAGCCAAATCATCTGAACACAGGTTTAACCAATCTGAAGATCATAGTAAACTTTGTTATGTGATTTAAGGCTAAGCTGGTCAAGAAATCAGTGGCTCTGTCTTCCCATTTGTAAAACGAAGTTGGAAAACGCTTCTCCTACCTGGGAAAAATTTTGCCCTTCCTTGTGGAAGTTTTGGATTCTTTGTCTTCTGTAACACCATGAATTTCCTCTCTCTCCCTGGGCTATCTGCCTCCTGCATCCAACATTTAGATCTTGAAATTCTTCAGGACACAGTCATAGCTCTTTATATTCTCCTGCCATACTTTCAGCTGAGGGGATCTCATCCATTTTTCAGAGCTTTAAAAACATCTAAGCCAATGATACCTAAATTTTTATGTTCATTCCAGGGCTTCACTGAGATCCAGACTTTTACATCCAAATACTAATTGATTTCTTGACTTAAACATTTCACAGACACCTCCAGATTAATCTATGCAAAACTAGAATATTACATTTCTCCCTAAAGGTGAATAAGGTATTTTATTCAGGCCAGACAAAATTGCTGCCACAAAAGCAGGCTGAGATGAAAGAAGAAATAAAGGGTAAAGTGGAAAATTAGTAGGCAGCTCTAAATAAGTATCAACTGTATAAAACAATAAATTTAAGAATTAAAAAGATAGTGAATTAGAATTTATTACAAAAATATCAGTTACCATATTAAATATAAATTAATGATAAAAGAATCACCAAGAAAGTTTAACAAATTAAAATATATATGCAGTCAATTACATGACCTCAAAATGCATAATTTTATAAAAGAATAAAATTGTGAGAAAAACTCAAAGGTACAGTCAGTGGCAGTTTGCATTTATAAATTCAAGAAAAATACAGAGGAAAAAAATTAACAAATATTATAGCACACAAATGCAAAATAATAAATATTGGACAATATTCTATGCCATAAAGTAAGTACAAGTAAATATAAAAGGTATATATTTTTGACAACTATTAATATTCAAAATATACCTAGAAAATTACTGTGTTTAGACATTATAAAAACACATATCAAAGGGAAATCATGAGAGAAAAAAGAAAGTATACTAAACTGAATGTTAATGAAAACACTACGTTACAATTTGAAAAGTACAGCATGTAAAATGTATAGACTTAGAAGCACACATTCAAAAGAAAAAATGGCTTAAGTCATTATTTAAGAATTTGTCTTCAGAAATTACATAAAGGACAGCAAAAAATGAAGTATAAAGAAAAAAGCATTAAAGAAAAAGAGTAAACATTGATGAAATAAATGATTAAATATGATAGAAGACAAAGCCAAAAATTGGGAGACTAACAACATTTAAATATATATATATATGTAATCAAGAGAATAATATCAGGAATAAAATGAGGAGATTCTATAGATAATAGAGGAATAAAAATAGAGGAGATCTTATTCCTGTAATATCTATAGAATTAGGAATAAAATAGAGGAGATTCTATAGATATTACAAAGATAATAACTATGTAATAACTTTATTTCAATAAATTGAGAAATTCGGAAGAAACTGTCTAGAAAATTTCTAGAAAACTCATAAATTTGACAAAAGAAAATACTGAGACAAACGTAAAGAAACTGAAACAGCCATATAAAACTTCCTCCAAAATGTTTAGATTCAAATATCTTTACTAGCAGACTTAGGGAAAAATTAATATCAATCCTACATATTTCCAGAGAACAACAAAATAAGATAAACTCTAATACATGGTATCAGACTGGATTTTCTTGATACCAAAAACCAATAAAGAGAATATGACAAGGGAAACGTACAGTCCAATCTCATTATGAACATAAATCCAAAAATTCTTAAAAATGTAAACCCAGCAATTGGTAAAAAGGAGACTTCATCATAAACACATTGGTTTATACCAGAAATTTGGGTTAGTTTAACATTAGAAAGGCAATGCAATTTGTCACATTGAGAACAAAATAAAAATAGACATCACCTCATTGATGCATAGAAAGCATCTGAGTTTTAAAATCCATTCATGATAAAAATTAAAAATAAAAACTCATGACAAACTAGAACTAGAATGGAGCTTCCTCAATCTGATAAAGGCTAATAAAATTTTTTTTAAAAATCCACTGCAAACAATCTTATCTAATGGTAAGATATTCAAAGCATTCCTTTGAAGTCAAGAATGTCAAATATCATCACTTCACTTCAATCTTGCACTGAAGGGCCTTGATAGCACTGAAAGGCAAGAAAGAGAAATGAAAAGTATAATGATTAGGAAAGGAAAATTAAGGTTGTCATTATTCTCAGTTAACATAATTTCATTTGTAGAAAATATAACAGAAACTACAGATTAATCAGAAGTATTCTGTAGCAAGGTTGCAGAAAAAAATCAGTTATATTTATATGCCAGTATCAAACACTTAGAAAATATATTTTTTAAGTCACCACTTCATTGGGAAAACTCCCAGAACATCAGCTTAGCAAAGAATTCTTGAGTAATACCCCAAAAGCACAGGCAACCAAAGCAAAAATGGACAAATGGGATCACATCAAATTAAAAAGCTTCCACACAGCCAAAGAAAAAAATCAACAGTGAAGAGACAACCTAAGAAATTAATAACCACAATACAGAAGGAACTCAAAAGGAAAAAAAAAATCTAATAATCCAATTAAAAAATGGACAAAGGATCTGAATAGAAATTTCTCAAAGGAAGACATATATATGGCAAACAGGCATGTGAAAATGTGCTCAATATCAATGATCCTCAGAGAAATGCAAATCAAGACTGCAATGAGATATCAACTCATCCCACTTAAAATGACTTTTAGACAATAACGAATGCTGACAAGGATATGGAGAAAAAGGAACCCTCATGCACTGTTGGGAATGTAAATTAGTACAGTTTCTGGAGAAAAGTATGGAGGTTCCTAACAAAACTAAAATAGAACTACCAGGGCCAGGCACGGTGGTTCACACCTGTAATCCCAACACTTTGGGAGGCTGAGGCGGGCAGATTATTAGAGTTGAGGAGTTTGAGACCAGCTTGGCAAATGTGGTGAAACTCCATCTCTACTAAAAATGCAAAAAAATAAAAATTAGCCAGGCATTGTAGTGCACACCTGTAATCCCAGCTACTTAGGAGGCTGAGGCATGAGAATTGCTTGAACCTGAGAGGCGGAGTTGCAGTACGCTGAGATTGTGCCACTGAACTATATAGCATGGGTGACAGAGTGAAACACGTCTAAAAAAAAAAAAGAAAAAGAAAAGAAAAAGAACTACCATATGATCCAGCAATCTCACACCTAGCTATACACTCAAAAGAAAGAAAATCAGTATATCAAAGAAATATGTGCACAGCCATGTTTGTTGCAGAACTATTCACAATAGCCAAGACTTGGAAACAACCTAACTATCCTACAACAGACAAATGGATAAAGAAAATGTGGTACATATGCACAATGGAGTACTATTCAGCCATAAAAAGGATGAGATCCTGTCATTTGCAACAATGTGGATGGAGCTGGAGGATGTTTATGTTAAGTGAAATAACCCAGGCACAGAAAACCAAACTTTGCATGTTCTCACTTATTTGTGGGAGCTAAATATGCAAACAATTGAACTCAAGGAGACAGAAAGTAGAATGATGGTTACCACAGGCAGGAATGGTAGTGGGGAGGGGAGGGAAAGTGGGGATGGTTAATGGGTACAAAATATGGTTAGAAAGAATAAATCAGACCTAGTATGTCATAGCACAACAGGGTGACTACAGTCAACAAAAATTTATTGTACATTTTAAAAATAATATAATTAAAATATTTGTAACACAAAGAAATGATAAATGCTTGAGGTTATAGATACCCCATTTACCTTGATGTGATCATTACACATTGTATACCTGTATTAAAATTTCTCAGGTACCCGATATATACATATATCTACTACATACTCATAAAAATTAAAAATTAAAAATATAGCATAAAAATAGTAAATAAATGCCATAAATAATAGCATTTATATACAGATATTTATGAAAAATTTTATTAATCAAGACAGAGCAGTGATGACCATTGAAAAACAAAGATTCATACATTGAAACATATTAAAATTAAGAAATTTGGATTCTCAAATTATTTAAGTGTGAAAATGATTTTGTTATTATATTTTAAGAGACGTTATATTATAGAGATATGTACTGAAACATGTATACGTGAAACTATATAATGTCAAAATTACCTTAATCTGGAATTCAAAAAATTGGGTGGGGTATAAATTAAACAAGATAGGCCAGGGGTTTATAATTTAAAGCTGGATACATTATACTACTCATCCCTCTTTTGTACATATTTCCAATTTCTGCAATAATGACCCAGTGAGAGCCAACACCGAAAATCAACAATGAACTTATATGCAAAATATATTAAAACTTCCATAATTGACAATAAAAAGCCTGAAAACTCAATAGAAAAATGGGCCAATGACACCACCAGATTCTTCAAAAAAGATAAAATGCAAATGGACAACAAACGTGAAAAAGTGCTTGAACTTATTTGTAAGCAGGAAAATGTAAATAAAACAATGAGAAACTATCACATACCAAATTTGGGGAAAAAACTAACAATAACATTGGCAAAGAAGTGAAGGGATGGGTTTCTCATACATGCTGTTGGGATTGGAGATTAGAACAATCACTTTCAGAAACACTTTTGGATTCTAGAAAAGCTGGAAATTGACCCAGAAATTCAAATTCTAGGCTTATACCCTAGAAAACTCAGATATGTGCACCTGGATACCTACAAAAGATTGCTTATAACAACATTGTTCCATTTGGCTTTATACTAAAAATAAATTAAATGGCCATCAATAATAAGATGAACAAGTAAACTGAGGTTTATTTACTAGATGGAATACTATACAGTAATGAAAATGCACAACCTACAGCTACACCAACAATGGAAATACATCTTACAAGCATAATTCATTTGATAAAAACTCAAGAACCGGCTGAACCAAACCATGCTATTTAAGATTGCATATTAGGCAGCAAAATTGTAAAGAAAAACAAGGAAGGAATTACTGTATAAGTCTGGATAATACTATTCCCATGAAGGGAAGAAGGAAATTGTGACCAGGAAGGTGTTCAGGAGTTACTTCTGGAGTGAGGGGAATGTTATATTTCTTGATCTGATTTCACGGTGTTCACTTTATAATACCTTGTGAAATTGTACAATTATACTTATGCACTTTTCTGGAAGTCTGTTATAATTCGCATTAACAATTAAAAGAAAGAAAAGAATTATTCTCTCACTGCAGAAGGCCATACAGAACAATAAAATCTTATTCTTTTATGAAATTGTTTTTTGTTGGAGGTTGGGAGGTTGTTATTAGCTATAATTTTTGAACATTTGAGAAGGGAACTTAATGAGAAATGAAAATGAGCCGTTTTTACTTTACTGATAGGCATTCTAAATGATAAAATATACCTTAAGAAATATGTTCATATTTTCAATTAATGCTGTAAAGAGATATTTCAAACTAGGTAACAATTGTCTTGAAGAAAGTCTTGTTTTAGTAAAGAAGAATAATGGTCAACTATGCAATCCATCTCAATAAAATGATGGGCACTTTGTCTCTGTTTTCTTCCATTCAGTTTCATAATTTCCTAATTAGTGTCATTTGGATTGGTGAATGTGTATCACTTTGGCCCTCCCCATCACTCCACCTGCCATGTCATGTGCACTCTCTCTCAATATTTATTCTTTTGTGTTTTGTTTGACTGTTTTATTGAAAAGCCATAAACAAACAGTATTAGTTTGCTAGGGCCACCATAACAAAATATCACAGACTGGGTGGTTCAAACAATAGAAATTTATTTTCTCATTCTTTTAGAGGCTGGAAGTCCATGAACAAAGTGTCGGCAGGTTTGACTTCTCCTGAGACCTCTCTTTTTGGCTTGCAGATGGGCCAGCCTCTTGCCGTGTCCTCACATCACATTACTTCTGTGTGCATTGCTCCCTGGTGTCTCCTTCATTTCTTATGAAGATGTCAGATTGGATTAGAGCCTCATCCTTGGAATTCACTTAAGCTTAATTACCTCTTTAAAAGTCCTATCTACAAAAATAATCACATTATGGTTTAGGACTGTAACATGCAATATGATGGCACGCAATTCAGTCCATAACATGAGCGCTTTCATTTTGATAATATTACACCTAACCACTTTTCAGAGTATCCAGTGTGATACAACACATTTCAAATTTGGCAACTCTACATTGTTGCTCAGAAAATGACAAATTATAAGACCTACCATCTAATCTTCTCTCCTTTTAAGGGTAAAATACAGATAATACATTTAAATAAATGGAGTATATAAAATGGGACATGAAGCTTTTTCGAAGTTCCAATTGAAGATTATAGATACATTTCAAAAGGACCTGGAGAGGAAATGGGCAATAAATTATGAGCTGCAGCTCTTCCTAAAGTCATCAGAAAGGACTTTCTTTCTTCCCTTGAAAATACCTCCTGATAAGTCAACCTGTTCTTCCTTTCTGATAGATACTTTGGATAATGGATGTAGCCCTAAAAAAGAGAATCCCATTTTCACACAAAGGGAGGAGAACACAAAGTTAAAATACAAGAAGGACAGTAGGTCCCCACTCACAGCCCACACCAGAGCCCGCACCATCTTTATCTCATGCTTCCAGCCTCTTCCCACTCACTTCAGCCTTCTCAATGCCAGGTTACTGTCCAAAAAATAAATCTAATTATGTCATCCCCTGCTTAAATATTTGAATGTTTCATTGTTTCCAGTAGACTCCAGTCTATATTTGATAGCTTGGGATACGCCAGCTAACTTTGGCAAATGTATTTCTTGCTACTTCGCTCCATGTGTACTCTAATTCAACAGCATAAAACTCCTCAGCCGCCTCCAGGTTCCTCCACTGGCTTGCCTAGAATCCTCTTTCACTGCATCTGTTCCCAGGACACTTCTCAGCTTTAAGACACAGCTCAGAGGTTACTATATGAGGTGCTTCCTTACTGCCCAAGCAAGTTTAGTCTTGCTTCTCGCCACCACAGAACACTTTTCTTGCCTCAATTATAGTGCTCATGATGTTATACTGTAACTGTTGATCTATAGCCAATCCCTGCACTCTAGGTATAGGCAACTTGAACACAATGTCTTGTATATATTTGCAGCCTCAGTTCTTGGCATATGGTAGGAAATAAAACCATGATA